GTATACATTTGTCTATATCTATCTCGATTCGTTTTGGCTGTTACAAACAACCGTTATGTGAACAAAATTAATATACCCTTGTGCACAAGTGCGCTCGGGTATAAAAATGTATAATTAAAGCCTATAATAGACGGAAGAAATGCATTTTTTCATTAAGTTTCGTTAAAGGTTTCCAATATCACACTTTAAGAAAGGTATGTATGATGTTTTCTTTAAATTTAAGCCCGTGTAAATAGGGAACCCTACTCATATCGCAAAATATGCTGTACGTTTATTCATGTCACCTAGATCTTCAATCTCTTAACTTTCTTCCAAATCCTTAGAGTTCTCGTTCCTTTCTGTTTTTCCGGAGAAGAGGGGCGGAACTTTTTGCTGTGTAGGAGTCCTTTAGGGAGTATGTATTTGTCGTAAATTACGATAATGTGACCATGCATTTAGAGTTATGATAGCCTTCGAGTAGAGAAACAAGATTTATAATGTAGCAAACGTTCAATTGTCCAATAAATTCAGATGTAAATACCTTCGAAGAAAACCCCAAATCATAAAATATGGAATTACGTTTTCTTGTTAAACTCCTCTTAAAAATACAATAACGCAGTAGCAGTGGCAGTGGCAGTTTTTCGAAATCAGCTGTTTTTTTTTTAGAAAGTGTGGTGTCCGTCCAATGAAGCGACTCACGATACAGCAGTGGCAGCTGCCAGTACTGCTCAGTTTAGCCCAAATTCTAAATTCACTCCCACTGCCTCCATCGCAGCAAACTTCGCATGCTGAATTTGATATAAACAAACAAAAGGGAATGTCAAAAAAAGCAGTCACTGACAACGCCGTATTGTGCTTGCAGCGGCAGTGACTGCTAATAGGTGCAATCCCGTATTCCTCGGACTAAAACTAGTAAAACTGTCAAAAAATAATAATTCGCTCAGAGCGAGAGAGTAACATTGGAAAGTACGGAATCGCTTTCTTGTAAAAAATGGTAACTTCCGTCAACTTCAACATAACCTCCAAATTTTGGTTGTAAATTTTTGCTTATTTTATATGTAAACACGCTCAGCTCACACATATAAATAACGAAAAATACTTTCAAATTGATTAGAATCTACTTAAACAAGTAATTAAATACTTTTCAACATACATTAGCAGAGTGCACATTTCTTTTGTTTACAATTTGGTTGCCAAACACACTACAGCTGATCATTTGACACATTAGGTTTGTTCGTCGAAAATCCAGCAAGAATTATCCAACACTCAAAATATCAGAGAGTAAGAAAAAATTCTCTCTCATGTTGAGAAACTTGCAAATTTCTGCACGAACGCAAATTTGCAGGAATTTGCAAGTTTCGCTGCCAGCTGGCGTCCACGGTTGCATTTCAAACATAAAAAATTTTTATAGAATTTTTAAAATTCTTTCGGATGGCCAAAAACAGGATATACATGTATATTTCTTGTTGTTCTGACTTTCTTTAACATAAATTTCAATTTCTTCATCGTACTAGCTGTCGGGTTTCTTAAATCGACTATGGTTGCAATTGCATTCCAATTGCGAATACCATTTTTTCAGCCGAATTAAGTTCAAATCATTGGAATTAACTAAATTTATTATATCAACAATTATTTACTTCCTTTTTTCATAAAAACTCGCTCGTGTTTATAAATTTTTAAATTTAACGAACTAATTTATTCAAATTATTGTAGACAAGAATGCAACCATGCGCCACGTGTTTTTCGTGTTTGCAAATTCTTGCTGGCAAAATTTTTTCCAGCAAGAATTTGCAACTTCTCTCCAAGAGAACTGTCACTTTGCTCTCACAATTTTTGAGTGTTGGATAATTTTTTGGTCTACACGAACGCGATTTAGGCAAAAATCGTGATAATTAGTACAAATTCGTACAAATTTTTTGCTCGACGAACAAACCTATTTACCAGAACTTGCCAGCAAAAAATTCTCGGACTAAAACTGGTAATTTCTGAGAGAGAGGACCCTATTTACTCTCTTTTTTGTCCTCTCATAGTCAGAGAACCGAGTATGGGATCGATTTCCAGTAAAATCTGACTAATAGTTGCGATCCCGTACGAGTCCGGACTAGTCAGAATCAGTCAGATTTTACTGGAAATTGATCCCGTACTCGGTTCTCTGACTATTTAGAGGACAAAAAAGAGAGTAAATACGGTTCTCTCACACTCGCACAACTTCGCTCCGGCTACTGCAGCAGGTTGAACTCCTACTTGAGTAGGTTGAATGAGGATGTGCCGAATGAGTGTCCGGCATGCGGAGAGACCCCACATGACTCGAAACATCTCTTCGCATGCCCGGAAAACCCGACAACCCTAACGGCCTTGTCCCTGTGGACAAATCTCACAGAAGCTGCACGCTTCCTAGGGTTGCCGTTAGTGGAACTTGACGACAACGACTGAGATACCAACCGATCTGGGCGGGGTTGTTGTAGCCGCTACAACAACAACAACAACCAATCCTATACCTATACAGTTTTCATTTTTTTTTTTAACAAAACCTAGAAAAAATACACCTGAAAAAAGCATGTACTTATCTCCCAAAGCTGGCAAATGGAAATAAGGATTAAATTTTTAAAACTAATTAATAAAATTAAAGTAAACTATTTATAAAATTAGCAAAAAATACTTTTTTTCGCAAAATCTTTAAAGGACTCTTTTATTTTTTCAAAAACCCTTTGCGACAGTTATTATTTTACGCCCTGTACTTTGCCATTCATATTGTGGCAAACACTACTTAGGGCCGGTTACTCAATGTCTGGTTATCACTACCTGCCGGTTAAACATCATTATCGACATCTTCGACATCATGCATATAACATGTGATCGATAAAGCAGTCCTTGTATTTAACCGGAGTTTCTACCTCTGATTTGTGCTAATCAGACATTGAACAACTGGCCCTTAGTAAGTAAAGTTAAGTGTGATAGTGAAAAGGTGTAAGCATGGTCGTAGGCAGGTAGGTGCAGGGCGCTCAGGTTTAAAAATCAAAAAAATTTTAAATTATAAAAAAAAATGCCATACATTCAGGAATAACCTGGAACTCTTGTAGAATTTAGTTATTTATTTTTAACATTTATTGTTGCTTTGAAAAAGATTTCTATGATATCCGTTTTTGTTTGTACACAAATAATGGTAATTTGTAACAATAAATTGCACAAAAAAAAAAAAATAAAACAAAAATTGTACTCCTTTTTTTAGTTCTGTACTGCTTTTTTTCTATCGAAAATAGAAATGTAGTCCTTTCTCCGTTTCAGAATCTGGCAACCCTAAATATGATGGATAAATAGCCATTGAAATTTCATTAAATTGTATATTTTGGAAAGAGAAAAGGTCTATAAAAAAAAAAACAAAACTAATATGAATAAATCATATTAACTTTACTAAAGGTCAGAAATCAGAATTTAGCTTTGTTGTAAGTTCACATGGGAAATCTGCTTGCGACGGGGTTGGACGAAATTTTAAGAGACTAGCAGCTAGAGCACGTTGTCAGCTCCCGACGCCGTTAAGTTTCGTTGAAAGGTTTCCAATATACAACACTTTTAAGAAAGGTATGTATGATGTTTTCTTTAAATTTAAGTCCCGTGTAAGTAGGGAACCCTACTTCATATCAGCAAAATATGCTGTACGTTTATTCATGTCACCTAGATCTTCAATCTCTTAAACTTTCTTCCAAATCCTTAGAGGTGGCAGCGGTGACATTAAATGCCTCGAAATGCATTTCCAAAGAAATTGTCATTTAGAGCCTTTTCCATCGATAACAATATTTATAAAATAACCCACTTACCTGAGCTGTACCCATTTCAATGTAAAAACCGGAAGTGTCTATTTGATCTTGGTCACCGTGTATGATATTTTGTCCAGCTGCAGTTTCACAGGATGGGAAGCGTTCAGTCATACCATCACACCAAACGATAAATCCTAGAGTAATCATTATCGCTGAAAGGATAGAAGAAGCCAGCATCCAAATTCCGATAACAACGTCTATGAACAGCGAAAGAAAGGGAGCATCTTCTTTCATTCGTGAATAGCTGTTGGTAATAAATAAGCCAATTGCATTAAAAAGTACAAAATATTTTCAGCCCTATTCTGTATTACGAACGAACTCCCGTCGTGTACGGAGCTCCCGTCACGAATTCGGGAAAATGCTATTCGCAATCCTGACGTTTTCATAGTTAGTGCTGTCAAATATGCGCACTACGTTCCAATCTGTGCTACCAATTTTTCAAATGATATTCACCTGGACATGAATCACGTAACTTTGAAACGATAGTCGTTAAAACCACAGTACATAAAGTAATAAACCCTTTTGAGTACTCCTCGGGGGTAAAATGTGATCAGGGTTGATAATGAGAAGGAGTATGAATTTTGCTGATTCAGAGTTGCATACAAAATTACTGTGGTATGAAAGGGAGCAACAACCATACTATGGCAGAGTGGCACAGGTATTTTTGTAAAGAAACACTTTTCTTATCATTTTAAAAAGATAATTGCTATTTATTTTCCAATTTTCAGATATCCAGCTTGTAACCAGAGGCAGTGACTTTGAGGCTCACTAAAATTTACTCATCATATTGGAGCAGCTCCGGGTAATGGACCATTGGATGTGTTGGCAGACTTATGACCACCATAACCAACGCTGTCTCCAACCAAATGCGTGTCTTGAATTTATACGGTAGCAAGTCATAGCAATTGCTATTGTATGTGTGTATGATTCATATTTTTGACATTCTATACTTTGATGTTAAGTATTTTTGACGAGTTCCGCTCAAACTTAGGTGTGCGTAATGAGCTGTCTGGGCGGATGCGCTGGCGGGCATTGAAGTCTCTATAACTAAACAAACTTTGTTTTTTTTTGGAATAAAGACTTAAATATATTCGGAAATTTAGAGTTTTCCTTGATATATTCACGAAATTCACGGCTTTAATAAAAATACGATGTGGGTTTCCAGTTTATAGAAACACAAGCGTTAATTATTAACTATTGATATTATTCTTTAATAAGCATTGATACTATACTTAACCTACATTTTGTTCATAAATAACAGAATTATATATGTATATTTTATCCTCGAAAAGACCTTTTTCTAATCATGAGGCGAAATTCCCCACAGCAAGGGTTGCCGTGCGCACAAAACGAAAACGCTGCACACAGCCCAAAAGTACTATTCGGGGACCAATTGGTGAAAAACTGCGAAAAGGTTTATTACATTAGCTTTGTTTCTCAGTAGTCGTTGTTGTTGTAGTTATATTCACTCCTGAGGAAGGGGCACGGGGTTGTGTGCTGCTATTTAATGGCCTTCCTCAGACTTTTTCTTAGATTTCAGGGTTGTGTGCTGCATTATTATTAGATAAATAAATTTAAGCATATGACAAATCGTGATTTTATTAAAAGAAAATTATAAATGGTGTTGAAAAACCAAACAAACGCTCGTGCGAAAGCTCTTTTTTTGTGTGTTGTTAAAATTTATACATGGCGTATTGATGGTAATACAAGCAATTTATTCTTTTGTGGATTTTATGTTACTTGAGAATTTAGACAACAAGCGAGCTGCCAGGTTCTGGTATCAATATAATTAACACAAACTTTTCCGCGTGGTTGCCTTTCAATAAATAGAATAAACAAATATTCGCAAATAAATTGGATTTAATTTATAACTGACAACTAACATACGCTTTTTGTTCTTTTCTCCATATTGATTTTGACTCTTTATTACCGCCAACAACTTTATGTGTATACATATTTACAATCTGTCAAAATTTTGCGTTGTCCCACGAGATAGGTAAAACTTCACAACGAGAAATCTCAAAATTTTTGTTTGGTCTATCCAAATTTTCTCTTTTTTATCAGTTGGCAATAGCCCTCAGTGGCAGCGCTCCGAGCGTTGAGATAATAATTTCATGTCAATTAGTAGAAAATTTCCATGTTGAAAAAACTTTTTATTATGGCGAGAAAATTTTACACATCTGCTGTGCCAATTCGTAACTTTTTACTGCTGGAAATTTTTGACAGTTGCTCTTGTGTAAAAGAAGTTGAGCAATTAAAATCAGAAATTATACAAAAAAAGACTTGTCTTTACTGACTTTTATTCTTCTGGAACTAAAAGCCATGCATTTATTAGACGCCTTAGTAATAAAATTAGAACAAAAAAATTCTTCAAAACCGTCAGGCCGGGTTGAAAATTTGCATTCACCTAATAGTTAACAAAAATTTACAATCCGTAGTACTTTTCTATCAATTCGCAAATGCCGTTTGCACAAAAAAGGTTATCAAATGCGTTTTATTTAAATCGTTTAGAAAATGAGTCATTTATGTATACCATTTTATGTGGAATTATTCAATAAATTTCGTTTTACACTCTACTTTTTGAAACTATTTGGAGTTAATAATTTTTTGTTTCTTAAAAGCAACCCTGCGTGCTTGGAAGGCGTGTGTACCAATAATTTCATCCCTAGCATATTCATCCCCGAGGAAGGCAGTCGCCAAATTCAACGAAGGTTGTTTATTGGTTATATTGTGCAAAACACTAGTTGCGTTCGACAAGTCAAAAATTTGTAATAATTTTACCAAATTTTTACTGGATGACGTTCGATAACTACAAAAAATTATCCAACACACAAAAATTGAGAGAGCAAGCGTTCATTTTGATGCAAGAGGAGCGTTCATTTTGTACTGGAAAAATTTTACTTAGCAAAAATTGCCCAACACGAAAACATATGATCACAAAACATATGGTTGCAATTTTTGTAAACAAACAAAATTGCATTTTTCGAGTTTTGGTATTTATATGCTTTCTGGCTGCCTGCTATGTGACTTCATGATAGCGCCAACTAGTTTTTACTTCTAGAAATGTTCCTGGCGAACATTGAACGTTCACTTTCCTTTTTTCTTCCATGGAGGCAGCATGAATTTCAGTTTGTTTACAAATAAAACATAAACGAAGTCAGTTTCTTCCGGTTTTTGCAAGTGATGGCTAATTTCCTGTTCGTTTACTTTTTTGCTTTTTCTTCTCTTTGGGAGAGAATTTTCGCTTACTCTCTTCATTTTGATTGTTGGCTGGTGTTGGCTAATTTTGTTATCGAACGCAACTACTGACTCATGTATTTGTGTTGCAGTTACGTGTTAAGCCTGATATACAGTTTAATGCGAGCGTGAGCGTGAGTTTTTTATTTTGACCAATATCTTCAACTTTTTGCTATAGTTGAGACATGAAAAGATAGGGAATTAAAATATCTTTCAGAATTATAGAATAAAAACTAATTTAAAATGCATGCAATGCCACATCTGTCAAAACTTGCCGCTCACATGCGAATGCTTTGCGTACGCACACAGTTGAGTGTGAGCCCGAAAAAAGGCATATTATGCATTTTAAATTAGTTTTTATTCTATAATTCTGAAAGATATTTTAATTCTCTATCTTTTCATGTCTCAACTATAGCAACAAGTTGAGTAATAACAAATATATTGGTCAAAATAAAAAACTCACGCTCACGCTCGCATTGATCTGTATATCAGGCTTTACTGTTATTGTGAAGTGAAGCAAAATTGGAAACGAGTTGACGAAATCGCATAAACGATCAAAGATTTTTTGGTTGTCATGAAGCGAAATAATCTCAACACGATATCGTCCGGACGATTGTCGTCATACGTGATTCATGCCCTGTTTTTGGTTTAATTTGTAGGTAGCAATTGAAAGAAACTTCAGATTTTTCCTCTGGCATAGCTTACAATTAAGTGTTTAAATAATAATGAAGTGGATTCCACTACAATAACAGCGTTATTAGTAGAGAAAGACCAAAGGTTTTTAAAAATTTATCAGAAGAATTTACAGGGTGCTTGCCAGTGATGTTGTAAAAAAACAGATATTAAATTAATCTGATTTATCCTGAGCTGCGCCCGAAAAAAATTCATCCGAAAATTGTTTATCCGATGGAAAACAAAACTGAACCGCTTCGGGGAAAAGGAAAGTCATGATATCGACTATCTTATTTTGTAGTTTTATAAACCACTCTCGTTTAAATAAGAATCCTGTAAAATAGGTTGTACTGAGCAAAATTAGTGTGGCATTATCTAATGAAGCAATGCAAATAAGGCAAAGTGTTATTAGGGCTTCGTAAACAATTATTTTTAAATTCATTTTAATTACTACCAGTATTAAACCCTTACATTTTTATTTCCTTCAGTGTAAAATATCCACTTAGTTTCATATTTGGCCTTTCGTTTTTTTATATATGATTTGGTTGGGTTTAGTTATTTTATTACTTCTTCCGATAAACATAAGCGTTCGTAAAATATTTTCACGAAAAACCGTCAAAATTGCGTTACACTCGGAATCAATGCCAATCTCCCGAATTTCGAAAATTGCGGGAGAATTTCGTGATCACTTCGTAATTGATAATAGCATTTTTCCGTCATTGCCACGTCGGGAATTCCGACGTATCCATAATAGGCCTTTTAAATGTTTTATACCGATAAATCTGCATAGTCGAAATTAAGAAGAGAAAAATTGCAGTGAAAACTGGAAAATTGCAAAAACCTGTAGACGACCACAACGCTTCAAACATCCCATCTTCTTCTCGCCACTTGCCTGTTGTGAAAAGCAAACAATGTCCACTAGAACAAAATATCAGGATTTTAATTAATTACGCACCTATTTTTTCACTCTTTACATGCACATGTATTTATATATATTTACTTTGATGTACATATCTTTAAAGTACAAAACCGCGTATCAAGATAATGCAAAACCGAGTATGTGAGGTTGCATAAATTATTTACTAGAGAGCAAAAACAATCAAATTTCAAAATGGTTTTGTAAAGCAATCGCATTTCTGGCTAGTATATTTCACGAGGAACAGATAAGGATTGAGCCGAGCTTGTGTGAGCAAATCCAATTTTTGGCAGCAAATGTCAATTACGTGGTTTTGCAGAATGATTATACGCAGTTTTGTACTTTAAACGACCATATTTACATACACTTTAAATTCACTTACTGGAATTCATGGATGTTCATGCCCAATGGAACCAGCATACATAACGATAAAATAACCAATATTACATGGCCAGCAATTTGACTTAACAGTAAAATGTTCGTCAAGGCCATTTTCAATAAATATGCACAAATTTTCTCTGTTTCAAAAACTCACAAAAATATTGCAACACACATAAACACCACAAATTGTCAAAATTACAGAGATTTCGTAAAAATATCGATGCATAGAAAATATCGATATTGTACACAAATCGAAAGTTATCATCGAAAGCCCTCTCCGTCAGCGGCGTCTTCACCTACTTGCAAATCTCGCTTGCATTCTGCTATTTTCTCTCGCAAGTGAGATTGAGTTTTGTTAACTGGGCCTTTCAAGGCATACTTTTTCTTTGTAAAATGTCGGCGACAAAGAGCTTTTCAGACTAAATTTGTATTTTCCACCAAAATGAAGTAAGTTGAGGTATAAATGCAGTATAGCTCCGATTCTCAAATAAAAAGAAAAATATTCGGATCGATAGAAATGATTAAGCTGAGTATAAAGTAAGTAAGTTTAGGTATAAATGCAGTATAGCTTCGATTCTCAAATAAAAAAAAAAAAAATATTCGGATCGATAGAAATGATTAAGCTGAGTATAACGGTATACTTATTTTTTTGTTTTTTTTTTTTTGGGAAACAACAACAACAGGAGTTATCAAAGCTTATATTTCAAAAAAAGCTATTTTTGAAATCAAGATTACTTAAAAACGAATGGGTGGAATTTTTATTTCCTTTAATAGCAAATTCGATTCCCTTTCACTTGGTATACGTACTTTATAAAATACTTATAAAAAAAGTTTACAAACTTCTTTTTTTAATTCTCATATTAAGGACTTATAAATTTAGCTAAAATTTATAGGGCTTGAAAAATTCTTTAATTTGGTGTACATATTTATGTATTAACAGTTTAATTTTCTAAGGCGTTCAGTGCCTTTTCTTTGCAATACAGAAAGACAATTCTACTTTGTGAGGGTTATAATCCCTAAGTGCGGCCAAAGGCCGCCTACGCAGAAAGAACCCTGCAGTAAATGTCGACAGTGAAACTTTATCGATTCGCTATTGACTTTGTCACCAGTACTAGTTCCAAGATATGCGACACACAATGTTATTTGCTATAGACATCTCACATGTGCTTGTCATTGCAATTCTCCAGAGGTATTGACTAAGTACTCCCTTTGGGACCATATGGAGACATTGGCACCAGAGATTCTCTACTACCTTTTAATGTTTATTGTCTACACTTTTTTATACCTTTGGGTAATACAATTAATTGAAACACAGATATGTATATTGTTGATAAAAATGTCTTGTAGATAGTTATTTTTAATAAAAAAGGTACTTGGTTTTTGGCATATTTCTTCAAGGCTAGCTAAACATTTCTTACAATCTAATAAATAGTATTTTTTTGGGTTTTAATGCGGGTTGTTTGCTTGAAGAATTTTTTCTTTTGGCGTTGGAAAGCTGCTCTCAAAGTTGTGTCTGATGATTTGCTGAAGGTCGATATGACATCTGGTTATAAGGAGAAAATACGATGTTATTAAAAACTAATGTGTATATGTGTATGTGATTTATTAATTATTTACGTTCACCTTTTAATTTCTGAAAAAAATTTGTAAAAATTTTGTTCGCCCGCACGTGCACGCTTAAATAAATATCTGATGGAATAGAAAATGCAAGACGAAGCACAGCTGTTGTGCTTGTTGACAAAGTGTAGACAATATACACACAAAAACGCTACAGTCATTGTCTATGGCGAGTTCGTACTCCTGCAAAAAGAAACCGTTGTCGATATTTGCACTAGTGCAATTGTCGCTGTAGACGTACATGGTGGCTTAGCGTTGGCTGGCCCCGGGCTTACTGCAGGGAAGTTATACGAAAAAATACTGTGGAGACCGTAGCCGGTGTTGGAATAGGGTTGTTTTTTCTTTAATACTTTGCAAAATGAAAAAAAAAATTAGCTCAACTCTCAATTTTGCTTATGCGATTGCGTCAAACGACAACTATTCAGTGTTTTGTTTACATGTCTGACGGTAAATTTTTCTAGTTTGTGAAAATTTTAATATTTATGGAAAAACGAAATGTAAAAAATAATGGAGGAAAACCTAATAGAAGAAGTGAAAGAGTAAAATGCAAATTTGGAAAGAGTATCAGCGACATAATGATTTTTCGGGCGCAATGTCAAACGATTTGTGTTTTCGAACGTGTAATCAATCAATAATCAAGAAAATAAAAAAAATAAATACTTAACTTATCTGCGTGCTAGCATTTTCAACGCGAATACAATTTAACAAGAACGCAAGAACGTGGGTTTGCAACTTCATATTTTCATCAACCATGGTTTGCATTTTAGTGCATTTAAATTTGTAGATTCTTGTAAATTCAGAAATTTTAGTTCAGAAAAAAAGCACTAAAAAGGGCACTAGGCACGAAACCATTTTTTTTTTGGCGTTTTAATTTTGAAAAAGCACTAAATCTAGTGCTTAAAGCACTAAGTTGGCAACTATGCTTTAAGTCCCCGCAATTATNTTAAATTTGTAGATTCTTGTAAATTCAGAAATTTTAGTTCAGAAAAAAAGCACTAAAAAGGGCACTAGGCACGAAACCATTTTTTTTTTGGCGTTTTAATTTTGAAAAAGCACTAAATCTAGTGCTTAAAGCACTAAGTTGGCAACTATGCTTTAAGTCCCCGCAATTATCATATGTACGCAAAAATTGATCGAGGTTTGTGGTGTTAAGGCAGCGGATTTTCCCAAGTGCTCATGTGCGCTAGGCTCATTTTTTGCCACACCACCCCATACAATGTAAGCACAAGACAGTTCTTTTCAAAAGTGCAGTGCCTTTAAGGTAAAATATCTGCCGAAATCTTTGCCTTAACATGCGGGCAGAAGTCCATTAGAGACAATTGCTTCCATTTATTTATTCACATATGTATGTATATATGTATGTACATTCAAATTTTGTTGTTTCGACAGAAATATATTTCTTTGGTTTGAGTGAAAATAAAAACAAACAAACGAAATGACGGCGCGAGAAAATTTCAAAATGCTAGCAAACGTCAAAATTCCTAAAATTGGCTCTCAGCGATTGTACCTTATAAATATTTGTATCATGTTTTTGAAATTATAACTGTCAACAGTGACGTGGGTGTCAAGGCGCGAATGTGATGACTGTTTGTTTGATTACAGTAGATACTTCGTCTTGTATTCGTTTACCACCAGACCCATTCGCTTTGCTTCCTTATCCAACTTGGAAAAGGCAGAAAAACTTCGCGGTTTTTGTTCCCGATGATGTCGATGTCATCGGTATAAGCACGCTCTTGCAGTAAATTGTTCCTGAGCGGTTCAGTTCTGCAGCTCTTATTATCTTCTCCAATATCAGTTTAAAGCAGTCACATGAAAGAGAGTCGCACTGTCTGAAACCTCGTTTGGTGGCGAACGGCTCGGAGAGATCTTTCGCAATTCTGATGGAGCTGGCGGTATTGCTCAACGTAATTTAACACAGCCGCATGAGTTTTGAGGGGATGCCAAATTTAGAAATAGCGGCGTATAGGCAACTCCTTTTTGTGCTGTCGAAAGCGGCTTTAAAGTCGACAAATAGGTGGTGAAAGTCGATCCTTTTCGCGCGGGTCTTTTCCAAGATTTGGCGCATTGTGAATACCTGGTCTATGGTGGATTTGTTAGGTCTAAAGCCACTGATAAGGCCCAATAAGTTCATTGACGGTGGGTTTCAGTCTTTCACACAATACGCTCGATAAGGCCTTGTTACCTATGCTATAGTTTACAATATTGAAAAATCCTTGGCATACAAGCAGCTAACTTTAGGTATCTTTCTAGACATGGAAGGGGCCTTTAATAATGTGCTCCCAGAGGCGATCACATCATCTATGCTCCAGATCGGACTTGATCGATCACTGGTAGACTTTATCAGTCTTCTCCTTAATCGGAGAACTATCTATTCGGAGATGGGTGGAGCTCACATCACAAGATATGCGCTTAGGGGCACTCCTCAAGGAGGAGTACTCTCACCACTCCTCTGGAATCTTACGGTAAACACCCTACTCATGCGCTTACAGGGCTCGGGCTGCAACGCTATTGCGTATGCCGATGATCTTGCCCTAACTGTTGCAGAACGCCTTGAGTATCGTGGAAACCTGGTCTAGAGAATGCGGGCTGAACGCCAACCCGGCTAAAACGGTCACGGTTCTCTTCACACGGAAAACAAAAATCCCCCCATTTCAACTTCCGACCTTAAATGGCGTAGNCTATATTATTCTACGGCGTCACAGTCTGGTGGCCATCACTGGATAAATCGCTCACAAATTCTAAGCTTACCAAGGTTCAAAGGGCGGCATGCATGCTAATCACAGGTGCACTGCCATCCACACCCACCAAAGCTATGGAAACACTTCTAAACTTTCTGCCCGTAGACCTTTCAGGGAAGCTACAGGCGAGCTAAAATGCAGTAAGATTAAATGCACTGTCAAAATGGAAATACACTAGATTCGATCATACCAATATCCTGACCAACTACCCCGACACATTCAGGTCCCCAGACTATACAACACCACCGATGGTGCTCGAGAATAAGTTCTCCACTCGTATCCCTGCGAGGAAGGACTGGGAGGACGACTCGGTCTGGGGTCTCCAAAGTAACTCCACAGCCATATACACGGATGGCTCTAAACTAAATCTAAGAGTAGGGAGTGGGATACACTCAAAGGACCTCTCACTAGATCTCTGCTTTAGGCTACCAGACCACTGCAGTGTCTTCCAAGCGGAACTCGCGGCCATAAAGGAGGCTGCACTCTGGCTCATCGATTCTTCTCTTAATCTACCTTCGGTAACCATATACTCCGATAGCCAAGCAGCTATTAAGTCGCTGGATTGCTGCAAGACATCATCTGCAACTGCTTTATGTAGGAAAGTCCTTAACGATCTAGCTTCAAAATCTACTACTCACATCGTGTGGGCCACAGGGACTTTCAGGGTAACTGTGCGGCGGACAAGCTTGCGCGGAAGGGAACCACCCTGTCGGGCGTCAACTCCTCCCATGCAGCGGGCATATCCCTATCTACCTGTAAGACACGGCTCTGGACATACTACGTGGAGAGGGCAAACAAAAGATGGTCGGAAGAACCCACGTGT